TACGGACGCGCTTACGTCAAATCATCCGTCTGCTCGCGCGGTCTGGCCAAGTCAAATTAACAAGCGCGCGGTTGGAGATTTATTTAAAGCAAATTGGCGGATTTGAAGACAATGGAGCTCGTGGAATTTGTTTGATTGGGCAACAAAAGCGGTGTTCGGCAGACGGAATTAAGCATTGTTCGTTGTTTGGTCGGCAAAATTGAATGATTGTAACGGTCAGTGCACTGAATACTAGGTACATGTAGTCAGTGATTCGAACATGGGAAAGTGCACTGATCGCTCGAAGTCTTTTCCTCGGCGCTGGAACTAAAATACCACGAAAAGGTGTTCTAACACTGTTTTCCCCTATAAATGTCTTCCCAAGATAGAAGATCAACTAGGGGCCAGTGATGTTGGTGATGAAATAGTCAAATTTAGTTTGTTTTCCTAATTCTTCATATTTAGTTAGTTAACAAAATGTCTTGCAAATAATTGCATGTTTTGCTGGTACTTGCTATATTTCCTCGCCGAGTGAGATTTACGCAGTATTGCGTATTTTGGTAATTCACCAGGTATCTAACCCTGCACTTACTAATTTCATGACGCACTTGCAAATTCATCGGAAACTGTGCACACAAGTATTGAGAAAACAAATTCGTAATTTATGGTAATAATGAGTATTAAAATATTATTTGTGTGTGAATGGATGGTTTAACATGCATACTTAATCACAGAAAACCATAGCGTGAAAGTACGGGGCGTCAGTTCGGGTTTCAAACAGACGAAAGACGTGCAGGTCTGGTTCCCTGTCCTCATTGTCCTTCGGAGTTCATGGGGCAGGTAGCTAGCAGTGAATCCTGAATATACTAGAGGCTTTCCTCCTAATGTATGCAAACTATATGCATGACGTTCATAGGTCTGAATCCCGCCTACTGAATTCAAAATCACAACGGTAACGTTTGCCGGCAACCAGCCTTTTTGCAAATGATGGCAATGTGCAATTTCGGAGGTGATGAGCGTTGATTTTTGCTGAATTCCACTGTGTCTCTGGCGAATATCAATAAAGAGAGAGAACTTACTGTTCAGTATTTAAACTTATAATATGCAGTTGAAATGTTTGAAAATTGCCTTACTTTTGGGGTAAGACAAGAGTGAGCTTTTGATAATCGTGTGTTCAATCACCGTCCATGCACAAAGCTGGCATAGTGACCGTTTTTAGCCGATTTTCGGCTATCTTTGACATACTTTTTTGTTAAAAACGAGTTTAACAGAAAAATTTTGACAGATTGGATTTTTTGAGGCAGATTTCTGGCAGATTTCTGCAAAAATGATTATTTGACAGAAAACCCCCCAGCAATTTGCCAAAAAAAATGGTACATTTGTTTACAAAAGCTTCAATCTTTTCAACCAAACCCTTGCAAAAGGTTCACTGGAACCGATTTTGTCGGACGCAACCGCATTTTGCCTGAAATTTACGCAATTTCATATTATTTTTAGGTGGCTATAGATTGTTTATAATGTAATTGGAACATTAATTAAGGCAATATTACAACATCTGCATGTGATTTAAAGTGTTCATACTGTATTTCGAGTAATTCTGGGGAATTTGGCAGATTTTTGAAGTGCATTTAGCAGAATTTAGTCATGACCTTACGGTCACCCTGAAAGCTGGACTTCGATTAAAAAATAAACATCACGATGCGCGCGCGCAGAGGTGATTCAATTATTGGCTTTAAACGGAAGCTAGCTATCGTCCCCATATTTTTAGGGGGCCTAGAAACAGACTCAATCCATTGAATAAGGCGCCCCCAAATAAATAACATTGCTGAAAATTTCGAAATAAAACAAAAAAATTGTTGGCCTCGATAGGCCTAATATCCTCATGATAAATAACCACGAGGCCATGATACATTGGTAGTTCTGTTTATTTTTCACCAAAGCTCTATTGTTATGTTCGCGAACAGTCTGTCATTGATATTGAAATTGCATGAAGAAGTGTCCTACAGAATGGCCTCCAATAAAGGACAATTGGGACAAAAGTGTCATTATAATAATGAGGCTCCAAAACCCGTATCATATCTGTGAGATTAGTACAAGCATACGGCCACCCCAGCTCCTTTATGAAGCGATGACTAAGTGAAGGCCGACCCGGCCGGGGTTTATTTATTGTAATAATATGTATTTAGTTCAGTGCATCAATCATCACATGATGAAAATGTCAAATAAGGATGCCAATGACCGCTGTTTTTATTCCCGCTCATAAAAATAAAATGTAGAAGTAGGCCTATGAAAATATGCTAATATACAGTTAATCTGATGGTTTGGAATTTGCAAGAAGAGACAGGACCATTAAAAAAAAGGGTACCGGTATAGGAATGGTGCGTTTACGGGATACGTATATGGCTTAGGGGGAAAAAGTTGCTTGTTTAAAGGGACATACGGCCTGAAGTCCCCAAAAATGTCATGTTTTGGATTGTTTACTTATACTTTTTCAAAGGTCTGATTGAAAGGAAGCAAATCCATGTCTTACCATTCCCGATAAAAGACGAAAAAATACCCGGTTGTTTATATCGGACTCGAGTCATGCGACGGTTATTCTGTGGTGGCCCATACGTATTTCAAGTCGTGTCTATTCATACATACTGGAACTTGTATCCTTGTGGAGTTATTTCTTTGTTCTCGTGCACAAAAGTTTTCGAGTTTGAAAGTGTACTGTCAAAATGCTCCCATTTTAACCAGAATTATTTTCCTGGGCTGAAATTCGGACTTAACATCCCTTGTACATAAAATACTTCAATTTGCGACAGATCAACACACCTTGGAAATTCCTAGTTTTTTTGAGTAAAATCCATATATCTATTTCGTGATAACCTTTTGGAGACGTGTTCACCTGTAGAAATTGCTCTGTGGAGACCATACAATCTTTTGTTCCCTATCGTGCACATGTCTCCACAGGGTACCGTGTACCAGATCAATGCAGCGTACACGTTGTGTGTGTGTGAGGTAAATAATACACACATTACAGGCACACGAATGTTGTTTCGTACACGTCCGCAAATTTCAAGTGCCTCTGTTTGACTCCCATGATGGTTTCAGAATAGCGTCCAAGAGTTCAGGATCTGGCCAACAGTGCAGCCCCTCCTTACCTTAGCCAGCTTGACAAAACAAAATTTATGCAGAATTTCACGGTGTGTGATTGTCCTTGATCAGGAACTTTACAGCAATTATGAACTCACAACACCAATTAAGCAATGTTTACCCTGCCTGTTAGGACAGAATTTGCTCAGTGTTGTAATTCAACTAGTTGACGTGTACTCTTACAAATCAATTGCAACGTCCCCGTACACGTAGAGCGTTCCTCATGATGTCACACTTATCGTATAACCATTATAAAAACCCACTACTCGACGACAAAAAAAAACATTTCAAATGCAGTGTTATCCAAAGTGCGTTTCATTTCTGCTTGAAGCGGGCTGTGCAGGTGTGTGAATTAGTTTGTCATACAGGGTGAGTAAAAATGCAACCCAAATGTCGGGACCATTGTTTTAGTGAAGTTCAGCATGTAGCGCTTTTAAAATCTAGGATGTGAAGGCCCAATTCATAAGCTTTCTTTTAGTACAAGAATCGCTCAAATCACTTATGTAATTTTACGGGATTTTAAACAACCAACAGTTCAAAGTTCTGTCCATGGATCACAGAAAGGTAAGTGTTCTTTCAGCAATCGAAAACAAATCACATAGGGATGTGTGTGAATTGTTTTCGTTTTCCTGAAAGAACGCACACCTTTTTGTGATCCATGGACAGAACTTTAAATTGGTGGTTGCGTTTAAAATTCCTAAACGTGAAAAGTACATGAGTGATTTGAATTATTCTTGTACTTTAAGAATTGAAAGCTTATAAATTGGGCTTTCATATCCTAGATTTTGAAAGTGCTACATGCTAGAACTTCACTAAAACAATAGTCCCGACATTTAGGTTTCGTTTTTTTTTACTCACCCTGTATAGTGATATTTTCCTTTGTCCACTCTCTAAATTCCTAAGAGTGAAATTACGGACTAGACGTTTTAGAGTAAACATCAATCTCACTTTCGATTGAAATAGTCTGAAAAAAAGAGCAACTTCAGTCGAAGCTTGAGTGAAAACTCGAACTTTACGATTGACGAAATTTCACTCCAAAACGTCTGCTCCCTAGTTTCCGACTGTGGGAGTGAATCTTCACTCGAATGGAGTGAACTTTCACTCTTCGGAATTTAGAAAGCAACCACACAAGCTGGGAACCTAGAAATGCTTCTTTGTGGTTTATTAGCATGAAACCAAATCCTCCTAAAGTTGCTCTGAAGTCACTTCCCAGGATTTAGGGCATTGCTGATATTGCTGGCATCGTCACTTCGAGCATAATCCCTGGACACAAGGCATCCAAACGGGTTTTTTATAGTTTCTGCCAAGCGCCTTCAAATGACACGCCGTGGTGAGACCGGCAATTACGGCTTGATAACTCAATTGGTGAAGCACCTGGGCTACATTCTGGGGGTCGAAGGTTCAAATGCCTCTTCCAAATTAATTGTTATGCTCTTGTCTTAAAATCAACGCCGTTGTCTTTCATCTTTCCCTCCAAGGAGCTCGGGGCCAAAATGGCCAATGACGAAGGGCTCAGCCCGGATTCCATCCGACGACTGTTCGTTGCCTGCGATCTGAACGGCAACGGCTACATCGAGCGGAACGAGTTGGCGGCTGTCTGTCACGAGCTGGATCCGGAAGAGCTTCAAAAAGTCTTTCAGGTAATTGTGCTTTGTAACAGTTTTTGAAGAATCTGGCAATTTCCCACAAAACTTCAGCGCTGTTAATCTAAAGTAAGTGAAAGGCTGTGCCGGGTGACCTTAAATCTCTTGTGAGAGTTTTGTGAGGTTCTGAAATGTGCGTGACATGTACGGGGTGAGTAAAAAGAAAACCCGAAGCTAAATGGCAAGACCAATTTTTGAATGCAGTTTTGCTTTCGTTTAGAAAAGCATCATTCAAATCACTCATGTGCTTTTAAAGTTACGGAATTTTGAACACAACCACCGTTCTAAAGTTCTGTCACAGATCACAAAAAAGTATGTGTTTCTTTCAGCAAATGAAAACAATTCATATGCATCCCTATGAGAATTGTTTTCGTTTCGCTGAAAGAACAGTTACTTTGATTGTTTTGTTTGAAGAGTGGGTGTTACTATATAATGCAACCCTCTTTCTCGAGTACGACCACGCCCACAACTAAAACTTGAGCATATCTTCCCTTACAGGCTCTTGATCTGGACGGCGATGGCCGCATCAGCCTCCTCGACTTCTCAGCCGGTTTCGACAGCGTGGGAGACACCCTCCTGGCGCTGAGTCGCCGTAGGCGGCGCCAGCAGCTCATAAAGAGCGCCACCAGCGAGGAGCTGGAGGAATTCCTGGCCAGGCTCGGCAGCGATTTTGACCTGATTTCATGGTAAGTCAAAAATTAAACTTGACTTTTAAAATAAACAGAAAGCTGCATTTGTTTTTTGGCATTCAGTTTGCCATCTAGACTGGACATATCGCACAAATTCATCCTTTTTATTACATTTCTGAAATAGGCGCAATAGACCTTTATCATGCTGCCACCATTTCAGTCATGTTCCCTTTATCCAATAACAGCACTGAATGATAATGTGTTTTATGCAAAAGGAACTAGACTTTTTTGCCTTCCAGCCTTGCTTTGGTTATGTTGATTCGAATGGGAAAAACATCAAGATGGCCGCAACATGATAATGGTATATTAAAGCGAGTTTCACGCTTGACGATAATGCGAATGCAAAGAGAACTGTGCCAATTGGACGAAAAATTCACGGCGCATAAATAACCCGCCGAAGGTGGAAATGTGTTCAACTCTTGTGGATTCGCCCCGCGCACGTTTTGCCGTCAAAGAATCGTCTTTTCGTCTCTTCGATAACCTTCAACAGTTTTTATTGTAGATTGATGTAGATTGTAGTATTGGAGTGTCATGGCCTAGCGGTTCAGAGCACCGCATCGGCCTCATGCTCTAGTTTTTCAGAGGCAGCAGAATGTGGGTTCCAGCCCGGGTCTGGACACTTGTGCCCTTAAGCAAGGCACTTAACCATTATTGTTTTGTCCTTCAGATGGGACGTAAAGCCGTAAGTCCCGGGTGTGTGTAATACAATACACGTAAAAGAACTTATCGCTAAGAGAAGGGGTTTGCCTCGGTGTTTCTGGCTTCCGGTTAAAACTCGCATGCGGAGTATTTAGGAGAAGAACCAACCAAGTACCAAGTACCAAGATGCCATCAAGAAATATAGGTCTTTTTATGGATTTTCAGTCAAATTGTATCTGATATCCAGTTGCCCCTATGGGCTCCGTGTGCCAACGAAAGAGGGCGCCCTTTTACCTAGCAACGACGTCCCATGGGCGGGACATTTCGCTGGTTTACGAGCACATTTCCTTGTGTGTCTGAGGGATTCAGTTGAACTATGTACACGCAGTGCTAGTGGACCGCGCGTCGTGTCAAAATTGCAGTCAGGCAAGATGGCGTCGGTCGGTCACCCCCAACTGTACTTTGTTTTCCGGTGAGGGGTACTTGTGAACGGAGCAGATAGCTGACCTTGACGATCATTTGGCTGTCAAGTTTGACTTTTTGACGATCAATGAGCACAGCTTTTTAAGAGTAGCCCTACATGTCGTTTTTTTTTTTGGTTCACACTGCAACACTTCATCGGGATAGGCTGTGTACCCTTCTTCTCCGCCACAGTGATTGGGCATGATGGGATAGGCATAGTTCCCCTGTCAATCAAACCCACGCTATTCTGAGCAAATATCCACGTGCTCGTATACGACACGGTTACGCTGCCAGCTGGCAGTATAAAAACCTGTTGGAGTTCGCGCTGTTGACTTTGACTATCAGACCAGGCCGGCCCTATACAAACTCCACTTAACACAGATAGTTAATAAGTTAGGTATCAGGTAAATATTGATGTTATAACACTATCAGCACCTGTAGAGAGGCGCTAGCACGCGAGTGGCAAAAGGACCCGGATATCATGAAATATATAAATAGCATTCCTGGTAGCCTGTATAAAGTATGCTTCAGCCAACGTAGACGACCGATGGGATCCGCGATGGGGATCAGCACAACACAATTTGTGTGTGATTGCAATGGTCGATTGGCTTAATGTATAGTATGTCAACCTCAACGTGCGAAGAGTAATTAAGATGATCAGGTGTGCTTACCAAAAATTGGAGGAGTTGTTAACCCAAGTGTGACCTGTGTAAGCAATGTCGTCCTCCAGCGATGAGGAATTTGAGGCGGTTTACGTGGTCAACCCTGACCCGGACGAACACGTGAAGAGCCCGAGGAGATTTCGGATACGGACACGGTGACTGGGGTAGTGGAAGATGCAGATTCCGAGTAAGTCTGTATTATACGCCAAAGTACTTTTTCTCTCTGGGCATCACTCCATGCGACATTGAAAAGTCTTCTGAAACGCAATAAGAAGTAGTTGGGTATTTTGTCAATCTTATTTCGTAAGCACTATTCGGATTTTTATCATTACCTATTTTACTTGATTAATTATTTTTGATTCCTGAATGGTGACGAGCCATCCTCCCTTGAAATTAGATCGTTAATTTTCCATGCATGTAATCAAGGATCCTTATATGAAAGGATTGAAACAACCGTGCCACTTCAAGGTTTTAGTTGAAACCTTAGAGGGTAAGCTTGGAGAACAACTTGACCTAAACTGTATTTACGTGGTACACGAGGATGGTTTTCGAATCACGGCCACCGTGATTGTGGAAAGGGAGGAGAGTGAACTACCGTAGTGAGGAATCCTTATGAGAGGAAATGCCTGTTTGAACTTATGGTTGAAAAACCTCAAGTAATACTTCCGGGGAATCCAAGTAGGGTTTAAATAAAGCCAGTTCATATGTGCATAAACTGGACTGGATTTAAACCAGGTCATCGGGCTTTAAAAAGGGGGCGCGGTTCCACGGCGGGGGGGGGGGGGGGGGGGGGCAAGGGGGAGCTTTAGGCCCCCAAACGTTTGTCTAGCCCCCACCAAAAAAAAATCATAAAAAAATTGGCAGTAGCAAATGTTAGAAATAGTCGTGAGAAAGGCATTTGTACACTATTAGGTAATATAGTGTGCATGATTGTAGGATTTGATTAGCGCTCCCCATTGAAAATATGGGACGGAGAGCTCTTTTCCTCGAAGAGGGCACTCAATGGGTTTTTGTATAGTTGAGAAAAATACATGGTGCGCTTTTCTCCTTCAAGATCTCAGCGGAGGGGTCTAAAGGGGGGGATGGCAGGCAGTGAACGGGGCGGTTTTGCTCCCCGCGCGCGTCTGTCCCCGTGCTTCAGTGTCCCCGTGTCCCCGTGCCCCAGTGCCCTAGCGTCCCCGTGCCCCTTGCCCCTGTTGCATGTTCCCCCTTGCCCCCATGCAGTCTGACCGTATCTTTGATTCGCGTGCAAAGTTGTCAACTTGCGTAATTGTTAATCAAGAAGTTAAAAGGGAGATATAGAATTTCAATCGTACCGGTATTGCATATCGCTTATGGTTTACAGGCCTACGCATACAGCGTGGCACTACAAGCACTGTAGTGACGAACAGAGTGAGATGTTGTCATGGGAACAGGTTAAACTTCCAATATAAAGCGTTGAAATAACTGTCTCTCTGAAATGATTACTTCCAAATTAAGGTAATGATTAAAATTGCAATCGATAGCAAGATAGGCCCACGCAAAGCTTGTATGTTTTTTTTTTGAGTGATTCATTATAATATTTAAATCGTCTGACACCCGCATCAATGGTTTTGGGCAATTTTCTCCTTTTTTATATTTATCTCATCAATTCAGCGTCAAGAATATACAGGGTGAGTAAAAAAATAGCGGAAAAACCCCCCCCACAAAAAAAAAATGTAGCACCAAAAATGACTGGTAAGCCGATTTTAGAAACTGCTGTTAGATGAACAAAATTAGTGAAATTGCTCAATCCGTTCAAAGAATATCACCATTTCAACGCAATGACCCTTAGGCCTAATCCTGTTTCGTAAAAAACACCCAATTTATTGTGTGTTCTGACTGTATGGAAAAACAAAGAAAATTACAAAGAATACTTGTTTCAACAACTGTTAACAACTGTAGTACACAATAGCTTTATTAACAGCCCGCTTGGACAAACAATATATGATTTATAAAATACCCTTTTTTTTTTAAAGACGGGCCTTCAAACCCGACTTTGTTGAATATTTTTAACTTTTAACTGAGGTTTTATCGCTGGTGATAATTGAAGACAGTTGTGACGACGATTCTTGAAATCGCATTTTTGGACGAAAGAGGTGTTAGGGTCATTGTGTTCAAATGGTGATATACTGTACTTTGAACGGATCGAGCAATTTAAGTATTTTTTTTCATCTAAAAGTAGTTTATGAAATTGGCTTTCCAGTCATTATTAGCTTTGGTGCTACTTTTTTTTTTAAAATATGAATTATATTTAGATACAGTTTTGGTTCCCGCTTGTTTGGACTCACCCTGTATTTTGCTTGGGTACTTGGACAGCTACTTGAGCAAATTCAGTGAATTGCTCTTCACCATGTTATGCGTTTTGGTCCAAACCTTGAACGTACACTGTGCGTATGTAAAATACCTAACTGTCCCGTAGATGACCTGTGTCATGCAGCTTCGGTGAATTTTTTTTATGATCGGTTTAATTAACATAACACGAGTTTTATTACCACGCTTCAGGCTAGATAAGGTCATAGAGTTACTGGAAACGTCAAATTACAAAGTAGGAATTGAGTGTTTTTATTTCTGCAATAATATATATATTTTTTAATCTTTACCTTTAAACTCATCACACAGAGTCGAGCAGTAAATAAGTTAATATTCACTGGTAACCACTGTTTTCCAAGCAGATGACGTATTAAATGGCACGCGTAAATCGGTGGTTACGTGGCTCCATTTCAGCGGTTGCCATGAGAACAAACGCCATCAGTTTTCCATGCACGTATCAGATACAAGAAAAAAATCAGATAATGAGACTTTCCCCCCTAATACTCTGTTGATTGTTTGTTACTCTATGTTGTAACTCTCCGTAAGTTTTCCTAATATTGTTAAGTCTCAAGAGAAGATTGCCTTTGTAGGTGAATCGTCAACCGTTATCAAACAGTTATGATCCCATTGTTTGAGGTTTGGGTCATAACATTATACGGAAGTATAAGAACATCCCACACATACCGATATTTTCATCTGATGTTTCGGACATTAAAAATACAGTAGAATTCCACTACTATAGCACATAAGGGGGATACCATGGTGTGCTGATGACTGAGTATATAGGCTAGAGCACAGTATAGTGCAATGCAGGGCGTCTTAAAAAAATGGTAATCCTACTTTAAAGGGTTATTATGGCCAGACTATATTTAACCAGCAAAAATCACGGTATCATCTTAAAGC